ACTTTTTAATAAAAAATATATTTCATCTCACAATGTAGAATGTATTTTATTCCACTTTGTCAAACCTACAGTTTTTTGGCTTGATGCCCTGTATAGTTGATGAGTACCTAAGGATTCGACTATGTTACTCATAAATCTACCATTTAAACTAGACGTGTCAAATAATTGTTTAATTTGATAGAAGAGGGGATAAACTCTTATTGTGAGGGTGAAAACGACATGCGATAACATTTGGTAACTCATAAAAATACATTATATATATTAATCCGGACGTGAGGTCTATCATTGTTATTCCTTTCAGAAGTTTCAAATTCAATTGATATAACAACTATGTGAACAGTGTAAGGAATACATTAGTATTGTTTGGATTTTGCCTGTGCATTTAAAAAAAAAAAAAGTTAATAAATTTAAGAGTCTCTGCCTCAAGTAAATCTATTTGTCCATCAATAAATTGTATATTTACAATTGGTGCAAACAAAATTACTTACTACCGGACACATCTACAGTAAAACGTTATATTTATTATTTGAGGATAAAATAAATCACAAACTTATGATGAATAAATTTTGAATTTAGGGGAAGATTGTTTGCAATAATGTAAACCTTGTAGATAATATAACCATTGCTCCCAACTAGCACAATAATAAAAATGTGTTTTTAACACATATGCAAACAAGCAGGACCATGTTTTACTTTATGTCTTTAATTTAACTTTTAAATGAAACATTAATTTCGAAGTTGATGTTTGAGGTAAGCCTTTATTGCATGTGACGATATGTCGATCAGGTCGAGTTAACAAAACTATCAACGACATAAATATAACTTTTAAAGAGATTAACTTGAAAATAATTAACTTTTATATTTTTTTATCCCCTCTCCTTCGTCAGTCTGTTGTTGTTTTATATAAGAGATATATTTTTATCTAAAATTGTTATGAATGACACTGAAATTATATAGGAAACAAACACTCATAGAAGTACATGGTGTAGGGGCGCCGCGAACGAATGGGTTAGCGCTCTAGCGCTCCGTTCCGCGTAGGTGTCGGCCGGCTACTGAGTGACAGCGCTCAATGAAATTTTCTGGGTAGGCCGTGTCGCTGCTTCCTCGTCCACCCCGCCATCGATGACGGGGCACGAGGGCATGGTCTCACTCACACATCGTAAGTTCCGCTTGTCGGTAACACCATCGCCTGAGAAGTAACCCTTACCGCAGTAACTTAGTTTTACCTTTCCAAGAGTAAAAGTGTCGACTTTTCGTGAACGCTGCTGTAAGTTTAGATTACCTAATTAGTCGGGATATAGTAGGGCGCAAGGGGAAGAAAGGCAGTAATGGAAGAAGAAGGAGCTGGAGGAGGGGGGAGACCCCCCCTACAACAAACTTCTGGGTTATGTAGGACAGGGTCAAACAATCCATTGGACAATGCTACGATGAGGGTGTATTTTCAGTCGAACCAAACATGGGGGAAGTGGTTGAGAATGAGAGGGGGAGGAGATTCAGGGTGAATGAGTCGTTAGATGCCATAAAAGAGAAATGGCTAAAAAAAAGGACTGTAATTTTCATATTTCAGGACGAAGCAAGAAATTTAACAAGGGGAGTAAAGGAAGACTTGATCCGATCCTTTGAGGATGGATGGCTTGCTAGGAGACTGTTTAACGCAGAGGTCAGGAGGGGGCGAATCAAATTTGAAGAGCCAAACGTAGTATCCTACGTGGCCAAAGCGAACGAAGTGGCCACGTGGCTAGTACAGAAGCGGTCCTCAATGCTAAGCTTGGCGGGGAAAGACTACCCGGTGATCTTCAAACCGTGGATGACCAAATCGAAACTAAAGGAGTTCCACCTTCGAGATGCTGAGACTAATTTTTGGATAGTCGCGCTTAGAGTGCCGCTGGATGCGATGTACTACTTACCAAGCGCAGTAGAAGGCTTGATTGGAGGACTTAAACAGATGCACGCGCCTGAAGCAGACAAAACGAGGCCCAAGCTTATGAATGTGAAGATCGATATGGATCCGCAGGCGCGCTACAGAGTTGAAGATTCATTGACTATAAAATCTCCTAAGGGCGAATTGTGGAAGGTAGAGGTGGCTACTCCGTACTCCGACTGGTGTAAAAAGTGTCGTTGGTACTTTCACACAGAGGAGAATTGCACGCGTCAGGGCCAGGACAGAGGGCCTAGGAGACAGTGGAATTCGAATCAAGCCCAGCAGCGAGAATATTCTCAAGCTCAGCAACGTGACCAGCCTTCAGCAAACCAGCGGGGTGCTCTTCGTTCAGCGGCCACGGAGGGGAGAACAGATGCATTCCCCCAGGCATCTCAGGCCTCACGGGGCCCGGGTATTATCGAGGATCGAAAAGCACCGTGGCCGTCTCAGGGGATAAACACGTCACTGCAGCCAGAGTGACAACCCAGGCAAACATCGCAGACCCTGGATCAGAATGTCCTCACCCAGTATCCGCATATCCAGGCGAACCCCACCTTCTCGCCTGCCCCTCATAACTTTCCGTATGCGCCTCAATATACCCACCCCCCTCCTCACTCTCTGCCAGATCGCTCTGCGATGCCTGGATGGAATGGTCTGGATGCTAGTTGGCCTTCGTCCAATCCAACGTCAGTACCCCCCTCACGGTGGCAGGTAGCTCCTGGCCACTATCAGTGGCAGTATGACTATGCCAACCATATTGTGCAGCAATTCAACCCCAACCATTTCCCCATGAGTACCAGAAATACTTATGCCCCTCCTCCTGTGTACGGTACCCCACCTCTCCCCCCCAATCACGCATAAGGCGCAGAGTTTGGCGCTCCTCAATTCAGTCAAGGAAGGGGAGGTGGGACTCGACAGCCATCAAGCGGTCCTTCCAGGGGGGAACATTCTGCACACAGGAACGGACCTTTAAAACTCCGCCTGGATCACAAACAAGTGTACCACTAGGGAGCAATGGTAGATCGAAGGGGGCATTCAGACATTGCGGAAGATTATTATGATCAGAGAGGACATGCTAGGCGTAGCCGAGATCCACAGAGGAGCCAGTCGCCTTCCACACCTTCTTCCTCATAATCCAACAACAGAAAAATTCCCACGATAAATGAAAGTTGAAAAAATATTCCATAAAAGAAAAATCCTTCATATATACAAATTATCATTCCAATGTTCGTTCAATTCTAAAATTTTCAGTTTTATTTGATAAGTTCTTGTTTATATATGAGCTTTCCCTTCCAACCACATCTATTTGTTCAAGATGGAATGGAAGTCTGGATGAATTTATGAAATGTTTTAATCAAACTTTCATTCTACTACAACAAATATTTTCTAATTTAGATTGGATGACCTTATTTATGATTGAAAATCCTTACTTAGAACGACAGTCCAATTAAAATATTTCATGAACTCATCCAGACTTTCATTCCATCTTTAGCATTCGGTTCAAATAAGAAGGGATACCCCATTCGAGGAAGGAAAATTTTCAAATAAGACGAAAAATTTTAAAATTGGAATGACATTTTTTAAGATGGAATAAAAATTTAAAATTTAAAATGTAATTTTAGTATAGAATGATTATTTAATTCAGGGAAATTTTTCTGTTGAAGGTACATATGGGAAGTGAGTTAATAGGAGATGTCATACCTGATTCAATGGGAGGAGCACTTCAGGTAGAAAGATCGGAATCTTCGACCGGAAGCTCAACTGGAGCAAGGAGGGGAGGAAGATCCTCGGTTCTCAGACAGGAGAGAGGCACTAGGGCCATTACCATTGGGAGTGAGCATCGAGGCAGTCTGATCAGAAAGGAGGTCCCGATAGTCTGCTCGATTACTAGCGCATGTGCTATCTTCTTGGGACGTACTCAGGCAGATGGTCACCCATGCATTCCTTCTACGGACTCAGTGAGCTCCCCAACCCCGAAGGAGATCATCTCTTATACAAAACAGTTGTATGGAGACTCCTTCCCGATCAGAATCGTCCCGAAATCACTCATGATTAATATAGTTGTTCCTATAGAAGATAAAGTTTATAAATTTTATTTCCCGATCCTAGATGCAAGGATCGATTCAGGTACGGTGGACGCATTAGCAGCTAATGGTGTTCGCTGGTTCCAGCTGGAGGGGGTGAGAGAAAGAAACAAACAAGAACTGCAGACCATTTTTGTTATCTCAAGCGTTACAGTACTACTACTATTGGATCTCAATCAGAAGTTTCCGGTAGAAGTTAACCTCCACTCCAACTTCTTGATTGACGCTTTGGCTGCACAGTGGGCTACAAGGTCTCAATCAGCCCAGTCGGGCAGCTCCTCTAGAATCAGTTGATGGCTCACACACCAGTGGAGGTTCACAGGAGATGGGCATCAGAGGGAGACATTAATTCTTCCCGCATTCAATCTGAAGCGGAAGCAGTTGCTCTCCATGGTTAAGCTATCTATGGCAACGTGGAATGTCAGGGGACTGGGGGACTCATCAGGGAGAAGGACGAAGAGCAGGAAAAAATCCTGGGTTTTCCGTAGTCATGTGGATATCCTATGCATGCAAGAAACGAAGTTAGACGAGGAGAAACTGAGAGTAGGGGAAGATTGGTGGGACGAGCCGCAAGTCTGGTCACCGACGCGGGGCTCGAGGGGCGGAGTGAGCATCTTACTGCACAGGTCGTTTCAACCACAGGTGGTTGACGCAGAGGCAGACTTGTGGGGCTGGTGGGCATGGTTCAAGCTACAGTCCGGCAACACAGATTGGGTCCTTATGACGATTTATGTGCCAGCTGATCCCAGTTCCAGGGTCACATTTTTTAGGACGCGGCTGTCGGTTATCCCAAAAACAGACCGGTTGGTTATCATAGGGGACTGGAACGTCTCTCTAGATGAAGCCTTGATGGAAGGGTCTCGCACTGCGGGTAGGAGGGATGTTGTAGCCCTACTGGACCTGATGCAAAAAACTAGCCTATCAGATCCCTACCGCTCACTCAATGCTGCGGACTCCGGGTACACGTGGTTCTCCAACATCAGACGCGAGAGCGGGGAGGTGACCCACAGAAGGCTGGACTACTTCCTCGCCTCCTCTTCGTTGACACAAGGCATAACAACAATCAGACCAGTGATGCACCCGATGTCGGATTATTGCCCGGTACTGGCGGAGATGGTGCTCTCCCCATCGGTGGAGAGGAGAAAGGGATATTTTAAATTAAACTCAACCTCAAGGATCCCGGCTTGAAGCGATGGGTAGAAGAGCACATGGACTCCTGGAAATCGACAAGACAGGCATTTCAGTCTACAAAAGAGTGGTTTGATGGAGGGCTGGCAGTAATCTCATGCATGATGAGTGTCTGCTCAAACGTCCTACCTAAAGGCAGAAATATCGAAGAAGAGAAGTGCAGGAAGAGGGTGGAGGAGGCAGAACGGAGAATGGAAGCCCACCCAATCTCGGAACTGGTCTGGGCAGCAGAAAGGGAGCGGAGGATGACAGAATGGGAGGGCTTGCAGGCGGCTTGGGAAGAGTTCCTGAGTATCAAAGGAATCATAGTTCAAGACAGTCTCACCAAGGAAACTTTCAAGAAATTACTACCAAGCAGCTCGTTTCAGCAAATAGTAGAGCTGAAACACCCATTCGATGCCACACTACAGGGAGCCGAGTCAACGAGCGACATGTTGGAGTACGCACACTTATACTACGCCAATATCCTGACATCTCGAAGGGGCAGCGACTCAGCATCCGTGGATCTAGCTCAGGAATCAGACATGTGGAATGACACTGAGGTTCTACTGTCTGTCGAGGAAAGGTTGGCATTGGACCGTCCGATAACTGTGGAGGAGCTGACTCAGACTGTTAAAGAAATGGCATCCGGGAAGTGCCCAGGGATTAATGGACTGACGGTAGAGTTCTATAGAACTTGTTGGGAGGCGTTGGCACCAGCTATGGTAGAAGTGTTCAATGAAGTCCTGATTGACAGCAGGTTGGGGGAGGTGATGACCCATGGAGTCATCTCACTTCTGTTCAAGAAGGGGGACAAAGCCAGCATTCGAAACTACAGGCCTTTCTCAGTCTTGAACGTGGATTACAAAATCCTTGCTAAGACGTTGGCTCTACGGTTAGGCAGAATTCTACCGAGATTAGTGGAGAACGATCAGGGGGCATTTGTCCAGGGCCGGTCTATATTTTTCAACATTTTGACGACAATTGAAGCATTGGAGGTGGTAAAGGCGGAAAACAACAATATAGCCATCTTGTTGTTGGACCTAAAGAAGGCATATGACAAGGTAGGCTGGCCAGTCGTTCTAACGACTCTGCGAAAACTGGGATATGGCCAGGGTTTCTGCAAATGGATAGTTGCTATGTACACCTTTGCCACCTCCTCGGTCGCGGTTAATGGGCACCTATCACGCCCTTTTAACCTGACCCGCTCTCTCAGGCAAGGGTGCCCACTGGCCCCGCTGCTGTTCGTCTTGCAACTAGAAGTTCCCCTGAACAAGATCAGGAAACACCCTGAAATCAGAGGCATTAGACTAACACAAGATAGAGATTGCAGGGTAAAGGCTATTGCCAATGATCTATTTATGGTGACAGAGAACACAACGTCTTCGCTGAATGCTCTGAAGTCAGTCCTCGCAGAGTACTCTATCCTTTTGGAAGCACTGGTGAATTGGTCCAAATCAACTTTCATTCTGCCAGAAGTGTACTCGCTGCAAGTGGAATGGGGCATGAAGAGGGTCTCCAGTTCCTCCAGCGAACGGTTCCTAGGCGTCATGATCAACCTACAGGTGATGGGATCAGTACAAGGGTTCATCCTGCAGCAGAGAATCGTAGCTCGACTCCAGGTGTGGGGCCCAGCCGGTCACTCGTCTCTATTTGGTCGTGCTATAGTAGTCAATGTGGCTTTATGGACACTGTTGTGGTTTGTGGGTACAGTTAGAGAAATCTCTGCAGCAATCTTGACAGCGATCCAGAGATTGGAGGTCAGGTTTTTGTGGAAGCCAAGGGCAGGGATAGATGGGGGTTTCATCACAAAGGTGGGAGTTAATAACATATGACAGAGAAGAAGGAGGTCTAAGTCTGATCGACCCACACAGGAAGAACGAGCTCAACTAAGAAATTGGATAGCCAAAGTAGCCACAGCAAAGCAAAGAAAGGACTGGATACTGCTGGCAGAGCGCATCCTGATGAGAGAATGGGAGTTCTCCAGGCCAACAGACGTATGAGTGTGCTTCTTCATGCGCTCATTCATGAATAGGAGGTTGAAGTCAAAATTTTGGGAGGCCGTCCGCAAAGCATGGAAGGATCATCCACCGGACGTACGTGCAGAGCCAATCACGATGGAAGAAATCCTCCTCCAACCTCTCTTTGATAATCCGTCCATCCTTGATGAAAGAAGGCAACCATTTTCTGTCGGGACGGAGGTAGCATCGTTTGGATTGGCGTGGATCCGAAAGGGAATCAGCCAAGTTCGGGATCTATGGTCTACTTTGTTGGGCACTTGACGCCCCTTCGCAGAAGTAAAAGCTCAGCTGCAGAATCTGAAAAGGGTAGAGCAGAACTGAGAGAGACTGTTGGCAGCGATCCCGCTTACTTGGAGACAAAAGCTGGGTCCGGAGGGTATTGACCCGGTGGGTACTTGGTACCTCCCGCCCACCCAGTCAGCTAGAGAGATAGTGTGGAAAGTCCTGGACATCACACAAAGCGGTTTCAGAAAGGTCCAGGTTTGGGAGGTCGAAGATCGTCCCTCCTCAAAGCTGATCCAGATTGGGGAACAGGAAGTGAAGAGCTGGTCGAACCCCCCACAAATACGGGTTGTGGAGAGCTCAGTCAAGAGGAGGGATGAAACGGTGTATAACTAGGTTGAAAGAGCACCTCTCAGAGATCTGATGATAGACCCTGTGGCTTGGAAATGGTCGGGAGGGACTTCAGGGCCCATGGACTTGATTTCCTTCTGAGTGAGAGAATCATACCGTAGAGCAGAGAGGCCTAGATCGCCTGCGTTGGTGGCTATTGCCAGATGGAGTGCATTCCTGACTGACGACTTACTGGGACAAGAGGCAAGGTTCAGGAAGTTGTGGAGGACATTGATAGAACTCCCCAACCCCAAACAGGCAACTGTACTTTGACTTCTATCACTGTTGGTAACACCGTCGTCAATCTGGCTGGTAAGCAGGGGTATGGAGGTCAATATGGGTTGCACTCGCTGCACCTGGCCATTTGAGTCCACCAAACATGTGTGGTGGGACTGCCCAACTTCGAAGAGAGTCTGGCAATGGTGGGAAACTCACTGGAATTAGATGGGAGGAAGAGACATAGAATGGAACGAAAAGTGGGTGCTGCTGGGGTGTTCCAGAGGAGAGGACTGGGCTGAGAGGATGGGCGTACGTGGCACAAGTGGCCAGAGCGGTGATCTGCTCCGCAATATGGGCAGACAGGAACAGATCTCGCTTTGAAGGATGACCGTTTTCGGTTGTGGAGATGAAGGCTTCAATCAAAAAAGGACTGAGGTAGGCTATCTGGGTCGATTGGAAAAGGAAGGTGAAACAAGGGAGAGACTCCCATCAAGCAAGATGGCGGTTCTTGAAAACATGGGTCCAGGGGAACCGGTTGGTGGGCTTCCACAGTACCAGAGGGCTAATGATCACTCAGTGGCTAATGTAACAGAAGACAAATAGGAGGGTGATCAGGTAAGGTATAGTGGGAAGCCTTACAGTAACCTGGGCACTCGGTTCTGAAGGCTTAGTAGTATACCCTGAGTGCCTCAGTGGAACCAGGTCACTCGGTTGGTAGGGTCACAGTGGACCAAGTAAGAGAGTGACGTAGGAGGATTGGACCCAGACCCCAGAGGGCCGGGTCCGCTGGGCCGTGGTAGTCCCAGTTGTAGGTAGCTCAGATAGGGTAGGAAAATTTTGTTCTTTATCAATACCTTAAGACCTCTGGTATGATGCTGCTAACCACTTTAATAATTTTTCTTCAACAGGATATTGTAGTGACAGTAGGTTCACAGGATGAGCAAGGGTTATTCAAGGTCAGGAGATAGACCTTGTGTCAGGCGTAAGGCCTGTAAGCTAAGCTGGCTGATGTTGTTAGATATCTCCGGGTTGAATTGTGAGGTCTCCGGCCTCGGTTCTCTGTTTGTAATGAAGTTGTCACTGGTTATAAAAAAATAAATAAATAAAAATAAAAAATTATGTATGAAATTTTCTCATCCAAGTCTTATCTCCCTTTTTCTACCTATAAGAAATGCACCATAAGACGCACTGCCCATTATATTGTGTTCCCACACACCAACCTTGCATAAGGTTGCCACCAAACCTTATCCCGCAAAGTGAAGATTCACTTACAACGCACGAGGTTGTTGATAATGATAGATTGAAATCGAAGGTGATTTAACTTGAGTTGTTGAATTCTCAAGCATTGGTTTCCCTCGTCTTACAAAATTTACCGACATTATTGTAATATTTCCTCATGCATTAACTTCACCTCCTACTGGAGAATACGTGAGATTTTGTGTCTCAAGGTATTATATTGGTTTGAGCATGACTTTACTGTTGATTTGTTGAAAAATCCATTTGGGTAGTGTTGCCAGGTCGCAAAGGACCTTCGTATAGTTGATGTGAAGGTTCCTAACCTCCAATTGTTTGGGATATAGCACCTTGCAAATTGCTGAATGCGTCTTCAACTTTCCTCTTCAACTCCCTCTTCAGCAAGTCGTCTTAGTATGCAGAAAAACCCTGCATGTTTTGTAACTTTTTATGTGTTGAGGAGTTTTTGACTTTCAATGACATGTCCCAGTGTGGAAAAAAAACGACAGTTTTTGTATCATCTAGTTTGTGTTGAAAAGTTTTGGACTTTCAATGAAACTTCTTGACAAGTTTCCACCCATATTTAATCCTGTATATCACATGTCTTCGATAGATCGGTATCAAAACGCAGGCTAACCACCTTTGAATTTTATGCATCAAATTATAGGATGCGTATCTTTAAGATCTTGTTAATGATTCTTTCCACATTCGCAAAAAAAAACAACAACACTTCCATCGAGGGTACCTTGATTGCGACCACATGAAAGGTATTGAAAGTATTTTGGTCAACTGCCTTCAGTCAATCTCAAAGTTCGTGTGCCGGACCCGCCGGGATGGCGGTCCGTTAGGATGGAGACGAAGAAGGAGGCAGAGATGGAGCTGGAGGGGACAGCGCAGCTCCGACGCAGACTCCACACGCAAGTACTCCAAGATCTGCGAAAGTGAAGAATG